GGGGGGCCGGTCATGCTCAAGGCGGGTGTTCGGCGGAGGGGTCAAGCTGCGGAGCTATTGCACTAGAGGAGCATATCCGTTCGCAACAACCAGGAAGAGAGATGGTCGGAAGAAATACTCGGAGTGATCGATACCGCAGTAAACGGACAGCCTCAGGCGTGCATGAGCTGGAACGAGCGCAAACAAGCAGAGGAGAGGTTGGCGACATGACGGCTTAATTTAAGCAGCATAGCCCTCTCTGGCCGGTCCAGCGTGGTGTCGTGAAAGGTCCTTATCCCGTCCAGATGAATGTTTTGGTGGGGTAGAGCGACCTTGACCAGAGGGTTCCAGGCCCGGGGTGTGCATCAGTCCAGGGTCCCGCTTGCCATTCGTCGAATGAGACGGGCATGGTGACTAAGGCACCTGCTGGTAGCGGAAGGCGAGGAAGCTGTGCTCCAAGCTCGACAAGCCGGGTGGTGTTAAGGCCTCCATCATGTATAACAAGCCGAAAACATACTGGTGCTGCGAGCCTCGACGAGAGTGCGTGCGACTGGCCCGTCGAGTTGGGCTTGCAACACCTGACAGGCCTGCCTTAGTTTTATTAGTCTCAACCTGTTGCGCGCGCCCAGCTTGCGCCAGCCGGCCGACACACAAACGCAAAGGCGACGGCGTAGAGCTTGCTCAATGCTCCCACACCGGAAGCGATGCTGGATCGAGCGGGAATACTGTGAGAATCAAGCACCGGGCCTTGCTAGCCAGTATATAGTCGCTCTGTGTTGAGGTTCGCTTGCGTCTGTGGTGGCACCAGGCCAGCACACACCTTATTCGCAGGGACCAGACCGACATGGATGTTGAGCAGTTGGCTTCGCTCGCTTCTTCCTTCGTACAGGGCCGCCAGCCCCTCAGAGCTTCTTTGCACTGCAGCCCAGCCAAGCCATGCTGCCCCGATAACCCTGTCCGCAGTCCATGACCCAACCAGCCAGCAAGGTTGTGAATATGAGCAATGTCCTGGGCAGAATGACGGAGAAAGTGGCTAATCATGAGCCAAGGATGCTGTTGTTTGATAACATGTCCTGCAATCGTGCCTGTCGTGGATGGAGCACTGCAACCTACTGACACGCCGACCTTAGGCTTGGTCCTCGCTCGCTTCCCAGCTCGCAACTTGCATGCCTTGTCCTTGGACTGAAGCGGTGACCGTGATGGACATTGAATGATGAAAGAAACCACGGCCTCACTTCCGACCCGAAATGCCCTGGCGGAGCCGACGGCAGCGTGAGAGGTGGGTTCAGCCAGTCCCGGTCTGATCAGCGGCGTCGGATAGCGAGGTACAAAGCGGGCGACGACACTGAAGCAAGCCGGAAGAGCGCGGGCAGCTGACGCCTTACATAGATGGTGCACCTGACGCTTGCGGAGAGCAGCGGGAACGAACTGACTGATCGAAATGCTGATGTGATGGCCGCGGGCTGCCATCAGCGCCCGCTTTTTCTGATACACCGTCCCTCCCCCGCCCTCGTAGCCCGGGCGAGGTCGTGGAAGGGTAATCAATGTCCTCTCGAAGGAAGCATGCCTGGTTTTTCTATGCGCTTTGCCCCCTGAAGCGGAGCTGCAGACAAAGCCGCGGTTTCCAGGTGTGTCCAGTGTCATCCATCCACATTTCCGGCTTGGTTTTGATGAGATAAAATGGTGCCCTGCAGACGTGTAAGCAGTCAACTCCAATACCACCGCCGCCACCATGTTGGTGCTTGTGACCTCAATGTTCCTCTTTGGCAAGGCGCCCTGCCGCCAACTGACACCCGTGGGATCCGAACAGACAGCGATTACCCAAACGCACCCGCCGTCTACCCTTGTCGGGCAAGGCCATCTGGGCCACAATTATCTCAACTTTGACTCTCTCAATCCTCACCGCGCCAGCCAGACCCCAAAAGTAACGATTGAGTGTCATGAAGGACGAGGAGAATCGCTGCCCGCTGGTTCTGTTCCTTCGACGTGAAGATTTTGGTAACTTTGCCTCTGCGTCTGCACCCGGTTCCGCATTCATTTGCTGCTGTTTGTTGATTCGCGGACCCCGTCGTCCAACCCTCGTTCGATGCTGTCGTTGTCGTCGCCATTGTCACATAGCCTGCCCCTCCACCGAGACGGAGTCACGCACAACCCAGGGCCGGCCACGCTTACAGGTGGAACGTGATGCGATGTAGGATACTGTAGGGATCATTGCGCGTGCAAAGGCAGACCTAGAAAAGGGTACTTGACGACATGGTCGTGCCGTGTTAGTAGAGCAGCAGCAGCATCGCAATCACCACCTCATCAGCAGCTGCAAGCGTTGTCGGAACCTCCACCGCATCCACCCGACCACACCGAGATTTCTGGATTGAGATGGCTGCTTTGCTGCCACCGCCCCCCAGTCATCTTGTTGGTGAGAGCAGCGTACAAGTCCATTTCTTTGGACGGGACCTGGGATCGACTGGGAGCTGGAACCGGTGCGCATGGCATTGCAACTTTCCTCAACTCGGCGCTCGCCCGTTCGCTTTCACCTGGCGAGGTGGGCTGGACTCTGACTCTGAGTCTGACTCTTGCTCCTCACTGCTGTGGTGTGCACTCTCACTCGCCGTGGAGGCGGCTGGCCCCAGTGTATTCTCGCACTCCTCCCCTGTTCCCGACATGCCTGTCCAGCGGGCTGTCGTCTTCCTCATTGAGCGCAGTGCCGTGCCGCCGCCGCACCATGGCCTGGCCTGTTCTGCCCATGTTGTGCTGTGCTGTGTTCTGCTGCGATGCGCTGTGCTGTGCTGGGTGTGCTGTGTTGTGTCAGGTGCTTTGCGGCACTCTGCTTCGCTGTCCGCAGACCAATCCAGTCCCCGTACCGCTCCCTTTCCCTGAACGACATGGACATTGGTGACTTGAACATGGACATGGGCATGTCATGGCCGTGGCAAGGACCTCTGGTGGTAGTCGTGGTAGTGCCAGCCCAGTCGCCCCAGTCCGGACCAGCCTAGGCTCTGGCAGTGTCTCTTGTTGGTGCGGTGCGTTGCGTTGCCGTACATAGGTATTGGCTTGGAAAGTACCGGACGTCCTCTGCCAACCGGTTAGAAACTAAGCTGCCTCACCCAACCTACCTCACATCATCTCACCTTACCTCGCTCCTGTTGTCCCGTACCCACGTCAAGGTTATGTTGGGTACGTAAGTACGGCAGAGAAAGGAGCACAGCAAGCACCCTGACTCTGCAGATGTGCCGTCTTCCTGGTCCGACGCCAATCTTGTCCAGTCTGAGGTGTGAGACGCAGAAAAATAAAATAAAGCGAGCCGTGTTAAAGGAAAGAGGAGACAATTGGGCTTTGCTTTGGCTCTCGAAGCAGCAGCAGCAGCAGCAGCAGGTGCGGTGAGGCGCCCTTGCCTTCCTTACCTCACCTTGCTTGCCTGCCTTGAAGGCGCACTTTCTTGGATTGCTCGCTCCTTCCCGTCCATTGTCTCTCTTCCCGTTTCTGGTCCCAGTGCCTCCGTTCATGGGCAATGTCCAGTCCCCCCAACCCATCCCCATCCCCATCCACATACATCCACATACATCCACATACATCCACATACATCCACATACTGTGACATCCACATCCTCTTCCTGGCTGGTTTGGCTTGGTCTCTCAGGCCGGCGTCTTGTCTGGCTTTTTGACTCCGTCCCTCCTCCTGCTCCTTGCCTGGCCTGGCCCTCACGTACATACGCCTACGCCTGCATCTACCTTACGTCTACGCCTACACCTACTTTTATTACTCCTCTCGTTCCCAAGGTTCCTTCCCTTCTGCCTGCGACGAAATACAAAACCAAGACGGTCTGCCCCCCTCCCCCTCCTCTGCCGTGCCTTCCCTCCCCTCCCCCGGCGTCCCTTTCTCGTGGTCGTCGTCTCACCGATCCTCTTCGCCGCCTTCCGACCGCTCTGTGAACCTTCCTCCCTTCTTCTCCTCACTCGACCCTCGACACTCGACTACCCGCCTCCCTTGCTCGGCGACATCGGCTTCACGACAAGCCAAGTGCATGCGGACCCCTCCTCTTCTGCCACTGCCGCTACCTCAGTGTTAGCAGCAACCTAGCAGCCACGCTCACGCACCCTCGTATTCCATTCAATACTGCCTGCTACTTATATCCCTCGACCTCGCTGCTCACCCCCACCCTCGCCATCCACGCACAATCCTCTTACACGCTCACGCTCCTCCTTCGTCCCTACTCTCCCACCGCCTGCGACACCATAGCGAGGAAGCAAACCCAAGACACAGACCGCCTGCTTTTCTTGCTGCGAGCACGAGAACCGCCAGCTGCTTTCCTGCCTCAGCATAAACCACCACCACTTACACCCGGCTGTATCTTACCCGTTACGGCCATTCGAGACGCCTGCATCTCGCCCTTTCCTGAACGACGCACCCGCACCCGCACTCCTCGCTGCTTCGCCGAATGCGGGTATGAACCAGCGACCCGTCCGTGTCTTAACCATCGCCCCCTCTCTTCCCGACTCTTGCACCTCGACGCTGTCTCTGCCTCTGCGGCTCACCGACTTTGGTCTTGGGTTTAATTCGGGACACGTCATTTCGCAAGCATCACTTACGCCGCCACATCGATGGGTAGAAGGGAAAGCCGTGGACCTGAGTATCTGCTAACCGCCGACCGATAAAACCAACACCGCTCGGTCGAACCCCTCATCTCTCTCATTACTTTCGGCCGCCTCAACGACCAACCCGAGCCCCTCCTTCGGTCAGTCCACGACGACTCGCCAACGGACCACATTCGCCGATAACTCCACTGCTGTGACCGTTTGCTTCGACCAACGGCAACCTGTACGACGACTCGCCCGCCCTGGTCAGAACAGAGGACTCGGGTAAAGCAAGCGAGCGACGCCGTGCAGGTGCATGCAAACGGGAGATTCAGCCGACAGTCGGTTTTTTTCTTTTTTGGGTTGGGAAAAGAATTCGTTGCTATCCGACGCCTCCTGAGGTCTAGGTGTCGCCTTTGGCCATTCTACGACAGAAGTACGGCATCACCGCTATGGATGAGACCATGGACTACGTCTACCACCACGCAGAGCACCCGAACCACGGCCAGCTTCCGTATTCGCAACAACGGTCAAGATGTCCCTACTTCAACAGGGCAGACGCTCACGGTCACCCGAATGCTCCACCACACAGATCGACGCCGCACTACGATCCCGTTCATGCGTCGGCAAGTCACTGGCAATCACAAGCACCGCTTCCACCGCACCACTGGCAGTCTCAAATGATGGGCCACCGCGCAACCTCTTCGCCGTATCATCGACCGGTCAACTCGGTCCCGGAACCGCCCTACTACAACCATGCTCCCGTGCCGAATTTCGGTCTGGCTGGGTACCAGGGCCCTCCGCACGACATAGGCGGTATTCAGGCCATGCACCCGCCGTTCTCCGTCCCTTCGCTCCCTCCAATGAGATACAGCAACCCGGCGCCCATCCAGCCAAATCCGCCCAACGCCAATCAGCCCCCGATGGCCCCTCCTGACAGAGGCTTTGGACAACCTTCTGGGCTTCGTGATAACAGCCACTTTGGCGCATATCCTCCCGTAGCTGTAAATTTGCCTCCGTCAACCTCCAGTACCGAAGGCCCTTCCTCGCCCGAAACGTCGCCTCCTGATTTCCCGAGCGGCCCGGTCCAGGCGCTGCCAGCGAACCCCAGCATCCAGTTTGGGTCTGCACCGCCCTCGTCAGCACCCCAACCGAACCCCGCCTTTACACCGTCGTCGTACTGGCCGCGCCGCACAGCTTCTGGAGGTGAGAGCTTCTCAAACGCATCAAACAGCGCGCTCTTCCCTGGCTCTGCTCACACTAGACCAGCCGGGTCGTCAACCGGGTCCTCGAGCTCACCAAACATCCCGCTGCCAGTCGTCCCAGCGGTGGAGCGCCGCAGAGTACCGGCTCTTGGACGGCGTGGGATGAGGAGACCGTCACCGCCGCCAGACCGCGATCCGGACCAGGAGAGGGAGTTGCAGATTCTCGAAAACTTCGTACTCAACCCGCATGGGCACCCGGGTCGTGATTTCGATGACATACAGATAAGAGCTGCTCAGGTAATGCGTGGATCCGTGACAACTAAGATGGTTGCATCCAACTCTGCCATTCAGTCCCTGCAGAGCGTGGCAATTTCGGATCTTTCCGAAAGCGAAAGAAGTGAGTTTGAAGTGCTTGAGATGAGAGAAGAAAAAGAGCTAACGAACCGCAGCGTGCGTCATCTGTTACAACGACTTTGGCGTCGAGACGCCCGAAGGTCTTAAAGAGGCACCTCTGAGGCTGCCCAAGTGCAAGCATGTGTTTGGAGACCATTGCATCAAAAAGTGGTTCGAGGAGTCGGATAGCTGCCCGTACTGCAGAGACAAGGTGCCTTCGGAGCCAAAGGTCACCTCCCATATGTTGTCGGGCCTGTTCCGCCGTTCTAGGGAAAGGGACTACAGCCAAGGCCTCGACGAGTTGAGCAGAAATCTAGCGGCCCCCATTCACGGCGAGCGTCGGTCGCCGCCGACTGACGGTGGAGAGAGTCGACGAAGGGTTCGGTCTCGACACGGCAGCTTTCGCGGCCCGGGCTCCCCACCTTTTAGCGGCGGTCGCCCGGGGTCTTTTGGCAGTTCATCCTCGAACGGCTACGAAAGACGAGCACACCCGTTCGCGGCCAGCCGGAATCATGCACCGAACACAATGAGCAGGGCGGGTGCGGGAGTGCCACCGCCTGTGCCGTTTGCCACGGGCAATATCAACCATTATCATGCCTCGCCGAGCTATGTGGCACACACAGACAATGCATCTTCAGCGTCGATCCCGCCGTACGCTCCGCCCATCCACAGCGTTGCCGCCCCGCCACTAAATCGAAGTTCCCTGCCGGCTCCGGCATCAGGCAACTGGCACAACGGGAGTGCATCAACTCCCGACGACACGCACCGGCGTATGATGCCCGACGACAACAATGCTACGCCTCAGGCTGGTGGACCAACTTCATGGGGACCGCAGTAGTATGAACGTTACATAGCGAGTTCCACGACCTTGGCTAGCATCGCATGGCGTGCTCATGTGGAGCGGCACAAGGTGAGGACCATCATTATCGAGGCCATCCAGCGCATTCGACAGATATACGCCAATGACCCTGATCTTGGATGGCAAGTGGCCTACATCTTCTTCTCTCATCTTTTTCCTTGAATTACACAGGTTTATGCTGGCGTCGGTTTGGGTACGGTTAATCATGGCGTTGTTTTTGGCGTTTCGGGATTGGAGATCAGCATCACCACGATGATATGAGACGGGAGTCGACGGTGCAGGATTTTTACTTCTCTTCAGGGCATCTTCAAGCCCCTGTGATGGGAAACGGCGACGAGCCCAGATGGGGTCGGCCAGAGGGCATTCCGACAGGAGCCATATTGCGCAGAGGAAACACGCCTGCAGTGGGCAACGATGCTGTAGGTCAGCGTATTAGTCAGCGAATGAATACTTGAAGGTATCACAGTGTGTTTTGGTGACTGCTGTTTGACAAGTGAGGTACAAGTGGGGAGACAGACACAAGTCTCGTCGCGGCCGAAAGATGATTGGTGGCATGCGTTTGACTGACGGTCGGAGATAGAGGGGCAAGTCAGCCGCAGAACGGCAGAACGGAGTTTTATCGACGGTTGCTCAAGACTCCGACGGAACGGGATTGTTCCTCGGTGATTTGATTGACCCGGTGGGAGCGGAGAAGGAAGCAGGGCTCAGCACAGAGTCGTGGAGATTGACGGAGGGTCTGGACGCCAGGAATGGCTGGCTTTCTGCGTTGATTTAAGTATCTGGGGTGCAGTGGAGGGATATCCGGTGTGATCCTGTCACTGATGAGACCTTTGGGATTACCTGATGGAGGGGAGCCTCTGATGGGCTGAACGACACGGAGGGCTCCATCTGGTCTGCTTTAGAGGAATTTCTGTTTTGGTAAGGGTTCCTTTCTGGGACGTATTTGGCATACGTCTGCTTTACTGTGCGGTCTTCATGCGCCGAAAAGTGTATTTTCACAAATCATTCAGGTGGGCGGACATCAGATGGGGGGCTCCCAAATCGAGGAAGCGATGAATGGCATGGGAGAGGGGCCGAAGACAGGTTGAGAATGGAGGATCGGCTTTTAGTGGAGCTGGAACGGGATTCGAAGAGATGCAAACGGACACGGACGAAGGACGGCTTGCCTGCGTTAGCCTCGTGGTCGGTGATTTCTTCATTTCTTTTTCGTCATTCAATCGACTAGGCCCGCATAACGTTAAACGAGTGCGAGGCTCGCTCGGAATCTGGGCCGACCCAGCGTGGCCAATCACCCCCGAGGTGTAGATCAGCTACAGAAGTGCCAGGCCGGCAGGCTTGGAGGAGCAGCAACCAGCAACTCTGCTATGTTTAGGTAGCTGCGTCCTGTCGAACGCCAAGTAATCCGCACAAGTCTAACCATCCTCACGGACGGTGGGCGGAAACGAAGGCTGTCAGAGGGGTGCTCGGGCAGGCTCTGGACCTTGCGCTGCAGCGGAAGAGCATGCGGACGGGGAGGCAAAAGAGGCAAAGAGGAATAGGCTACGGAACGAACGTGGCTGTGCAGTGTTTTCTCTCAAAATTTCCAACGTTTGCCGTTTCCCTTGCGAGCAATGGTCCCGGCTGCCCTGGACGAGGTGAGTTTCCTGAATGAGCTGAACCAGGCTGGACCAAACGGATGCTTTTGGGGACGAACACTCTCTGCAGCACACGGATATCCAGGGTTTTCCGGCGAGATGGGTTGATTGTTTGTCAGTTGTCCGTTCGCCCAATGCCATTTTCACTCGTTCTACACACGAAGCCTCTTGCCTGGAAGCCCAAGCACAGTCCACCGGATTGAAACGGGAAGCCTATGCGACTTGGCTCTTGTTCGGGGGCGTGGCCAATCACGGGTCGATGCGAAACATGCGAATGAATGGGGATACACATGCGGTTTGTGGTGTGTCGGCATGCCTCTACACCGACGGTGTTTCTGGCTGATGCTTCTGTTCTGTTGCTGACATGGACCAGAAGATGCGTTGTGTCTGGGTCCGACATTCTCCACCTAAAAGAGGGAGCTCCTGCAACTGCAACTGCAACTGCGTGCAGGCGGACCGAGAGTGGCCCCTGCAGCTCCTCGAGAGGCGACTGGCCCGTAGTGTCCTGCCCCGATGGACGGTGCGTGGCTTCACAGTAACATATACCCAGTGCTGAGCCAGGAAACCCCCCGCTCCAGGTGTCCCAAGGTCCCCAGGTGGAAGCAACAGAAGCACCTTTTCCTTCGATCGGGCGAACAAATCGTCCCAGCCCCGGTCCTACGGCATCTACACCCCCGTCCTCGGTCTGAGATGGTGGGCCCTTCAGATACGACTACCCTGCCTGGGTTAGCCCAAACCACCCAATTGGCTGCGGGCTAGTACGAGAATGGGATCCAATTCGAGGTCGACCCCTCCATCTGGGCTCCCACGCGGCGATGGACAAGGGCCCAGGGATTGGAGTGCCGTCTTCCATCATGTGCTGATCATCCATTCCATTCGAATCCCGTTCCCGCTCCATCGAACAAGATCAAGCCTTCTTTGACCTGTCGTCTGCCTCGTGGACGAACCCTAGGTTGCGTCCAAAGCCACCGCCAACACCACCCTTTCGACATAAAAGAGAGACGTATCCGGCTGCGACAGCCGAGACGTCGACGGCCTGAGACCAGCAGCACCTCAAGAGAACGGCCGAGGAGACTGAAGCACCGTTTGCGCCTGAGCTCGGCCCTTGAGCCAGCAACATTCCTCTATATTGGACCTCCCCCTTGGTTAATACCGGCCTACGAACAAGACCACTTCACAAACACCACCACGAGAACCACGAACACGTTACCCACAGTCTCGAACGACCGTCTTGCCAAGAAAGGCATTCGATCCTTTCTCCAAGTTGCCAGATTGCCAACTTTTGGATACCACCTCCGTCCGGCTTGTCCCGTCTCGTCTCGTCTCGTCTCGTCTCATCCCATCTTGATCCCCATCGTCTCGCGTCCTCTCCTAGGCCAACGCCCACGTCCCCTGCCTCAGCTCCAGCAAACAGCACCAGCACGCAGAAAATAAGTACGGTGCGTGCGTCGTTACGTGGGTGTGCATGTGCTGGCGATGCTTTGGTTCCATGTCGCAACCCCGTACGCATGAAACCGATCGACCGGCTCTCAGCCCACGCGGGATCTACCTCGCCTTTCCCACCCTTCAATTGAGCTTAAACCCAACATAGCTTGTCTTGAACAACCTCACGTTACCAACCTTACGCTTTAGCCCGAGCTCTTGCGTTGTTTCTATTTCAACAGCCTGCTCTTTGTTGACCTCGTCCGTGGTCACCATTAAAGCTGCCACTGCCCGAGCATAGCAGCTCTGCGAACATCCCATCCACGTCCTCTCGACAGGCTTGCAGCTGACTGCGTCAACTCGACACCTCCATACATCTTCCGTCGCCGTCGTCATCATCTCGAAACTCAAAGGCGCCACGCCTCCGACGAGAGTCGACCAACAGCGCCATGGGGGTTCCGTGGCGTGGAGTGTCCGTCAGCTCGGCGGTGATTGCGGTATTGCTGGCATCGCGCCAGCCAGTGTTCTCGAGATGCCACCTCCTTGTCACCTTCGCCAGCGCCTGGATGCTCCAGATGATGGCCTGGGGAGCCTTTGTCGTCTTCCTATACCCTCAGTACTTTTCCGCTCTTCGCACGTTACCCGGGCCCAAGGACGACCACTGGTTAATGGGTCAATACCCTAGAATCGTGCGCCAGCCGACTGGCGTTCCCATGATTGAATGGTATGTTCACTTGTATCGCATGATGTACGTAGACTAACATACCAGGATCAACACCATCCCCCACGAAGGCATCATCCGCTACCGCGGCCTGTTCAACCAGGAGCGCTTGCTCATCACCTCGCCAAAGGCCCTGGCCGAGGTGTTGGTCACACACAATTACGACTTCCACAAGCCCACCGCCGTGCGATCATCGATCGGCCGCATCCTCGGTATCGGCGTCCTATTGGCCGAGGGCGACAACCACAAAGTCCAGCGTAAGAACCTCATGCCGGCCTTCGCCTTCCGCCACGTCAAGGATCTGTACCCCCTCTTCTGGAGCAAGGCATGCGAGGGCGTCGAGGCCATCACCGACGCCGTCATGGCCGAGGCGGCCAAGACAGCGGCCGACGGAACCGAGGACCCCGAGAAGGCGGCCCTGGGCCCCAAGACGGCCGTGCTGGAGATTGGCAACTGGGCGTCACGAACCACGCTCGACATCATCGGTATGGCGGGCATGGGACGCGACTTTGGTGCCATTCGCGACCCCTCAAACCCCCTCAACCAGACCTACCAGCACGTCTTCAAGCCGAGTCGCCAGGCGCAGGTCCTCGCCGTCCTGGGCCTCCTCCTCCCCGGACCCCTCGTTCACGCTCTCCCCTTCCGCCGCAACGGCGACATCGCCAAGGCTGCTCAGACCATCCGCGCCACATGCCGCGAGCTCATCCGCGAGAAGAAGGCCAAGCTCGAGCGCAAGCAGCTCACCGACATTGACATTCTGTCCGTCGCCCTCGAGTCTGGCGGCTTCAGCGAGGACAACCTGGTCGATCAGATGATGACCTTCCTCGCGGCCGGCCACGAAACGACCGCTTCCGCCATGATGTGGGCCATCTACTGCCTCTGCCTGCACCCCGAGGTCCAGTCCCGCCTCCGCCTCGAGATCCGCGAGCGGCTCCCCACACCCGGCACCCCGGGCGACATCACTGCCCTCGACATTGACCACATGCCCTACCTCAACGCCGTCTGCAACGAGGTCCTCCGCTACTACTCCCCCGTCCCCATGACCCTCCGCGAGGCTGCCGTGGACACCGTCATCGACGGCAACAAGGTCCCCAAGGGAACCCGCATCATGCTCTGCCCGTGGGCCACGAACAAGGACACGGCGCTGTGGGGCCCCGATGCCGGCCGCTTTGACCCCGACAGGTGGATGCCCCGCGACGGCGCCGACGCCGAGAGCAAAAAGACGGCCGCCAGCGGTGGCGCCACGAGCAACTACGCCTTCATGACTTTCCTCCACGGCCCGCGCAGCTGCATCGGACAGGGCTTCGCCAAGGCAGAGTTTGCGTGTATCCTGGCCTCGTGGATCGGCCGCTTCGAGTTCAGCCTGAAGAACAAGGAGGAGTACGACGAGAAGAACATTACAATCAAGGGCGGCGTCACCGCGCGCCCGGCCAAGGGCCTGCATGTGTACGTGAAGATTGTTGACGGGTGGTGATGGAGATACCTTGGCGCAACGCTGTAATTAATGATACGATGCATGACACTGGGCTGGGTTCCTGGGACGCGCTGAGCACTTTGAACCCGTACAGCCATGGACTGTCGGGGCTTTGGATAGTATTAGTGTTTGATTCGAGGTAGACGGTGACGTTGTATATAGCCATGTTCAACTTCGTGGACCTGTGTGATGATGTGCTCTTCAATCCCGTCAGTGTGATTCTTTTCTGTTCGTGGCCGTACAACTGCCCTCTCGTGCCTGCATGGAAAAGCTTCCTCGTAATGCACTCTCGTCTATGATCCATAATTTTTGTGCAGTGTTCGCCCTAGGTAGTATATGTAGGAAGGACTACTAATGATTATCAGACAACAGCATTGACGAGGACGCGATTTCACCTATAGCCTAGGAATGATGTTTTTCTCGATAAAGCATAGTGATGTCCTGAATGTTAATACCTTACTAAGGGCGGCCTTAGAGAAGATCTAATAGAATCTAAGCTGTTAATAAACAGTGTAAGTTAGCCACTTGCACTACAATTTGCGAGACCAACCTGCTTATACTACTTTCTCAGTTAGGTCCTCAGAAAATCACTATAAGTCAGCTATTTACACTATATTTTGTAACGTTAACCTACTTATACTAGCATCTCAGTTGGGTTCGTAGAGAAGCAGTACAGATAGGCTAGTCGCACTTAAATTCACAACTCAGCCTAGTATACGTCGTTAAACAACTATTGAAGTCTGTAAGTTAGCTAGTTCTACACATTCTATAATTTCAGTATGCCTGTAGTAATATGTCTTTGAAAAACCTGCGCTGTTCTTTTCTCACTTTCATTTTTTTTTTCCATTTTTTGACATGACTTCCCACCTTTTCTCTCTTGAAGCTCCCAACGATGACTTTTCCTTCAGTTCCATGGAAGGCGACAATGAGGAGGATGACAACAACGACGATGCTTCGTCCAGGGCGGAAGGCAGCAACACCGCTGCCTCGTCAAGTGCGGAGGGAAGCAACAACAAGGAGGGCGGCAACAAAGACGCATCGTCCGATGAGGAGGACAATAAAGAGGACGCCTCGTCTGGCGAGGGCGACAGCGACGATGCCACGTTTAGCGACGAGGAGAACAGCGACGATGCCTGGTTCGGCGACCTCAGGAAACGAGACAACACCGTCTCATGGGAGGTTGGCACAGGCGGGAGAGGGGGAATACAGCCGTCAAAGGAGATGAGAGCAATATCGCTCTCAGAGGAAAAGGGCATTTGTCGCAGAGAAGACGGGCGATAGAGTTCTAGGCAGATGGTTATGAGCAGCAACATCGCTCTCAGAGGGCAAGGGCAACGTCGCCCTTGGAGGAGTAAGGTAGCTTGAATTTATACCTTGCCCAAAATATGCGCGGAGGCGTGATTTATATCCCTGATTGACAGCAGATCTTCCCTCGTGATGTCATCCCCGAAGACGAGAAACCACGCATGCCATGATTCCTGACGGAAGAATCAGTCGGGCGAGCCTCAAGTGCTAAGCAGGGCTTTCCTTCGTCAACCCGCGAAACGTCTTAGTCGAGGAAATCACCATCTATTCTCAACACTCACTCGACGTCGTCAACGCCATATCGGTACAAATCCTCTTTCAGTAGATGCATCTGGCTAGTTTCCTGGTTGATATCAATGGCAAAAGAAGCCTTCAAGTCCCTAGCAATCACAGCTATAGGGATCATTACTGTTAATATCAACAGCAGGCCTACAGATTCTGTAGCACATTATAGATCTTGCTGAATAGAGACTTGTGGCTGTGAATTCATTTGTCCCCCTGACGCGTTTGTGATCAAGACTTTAGGTAGTTTGAGGCGTCCCTCTACAATATGCAGCAAGAGTAAGACACGTGAAATAATTCTCACATATAAAACGGACGCAATGATAGAGCCACGCGATACTTCTATTTAGTCCTCAAATACCCAGTGTTCAATATAAAAGTCCATGCACTCTGGCTTACCCATATCTAAATGGATAACCGTGTTCCCCGCCTTAATCTCCTTGTCCCATACACCATTATCCATAGCCACTTCTCGCAAGCAATTCTCTTTGACGAATGCGCAGGTCTGTTTCTGCATGTCCATGATGACAGCCCACACCCATTCGGGCTTCTTGACGATGTGAACAACACTCCCACTGTTGTCTTGCAGGAGCTCTAATACCATTGGAACTTTCCCTTGGGCATTGAGTCCCTGGGCGTCGACTGCCTTGGGGTCATGCTGAGCGATGAGACCCCAGCATTCTTGCAGAATATCGTGCGAGTGTTCGATGTGCCCGATGTTGGGCCATCTAGACTTCAAAACGTCCACCAGCGCCCAGATCGCGGCCCGCGCAGGGATGACATGCTCATTTGGATGTACGAGCGAAAGACTCCAATTGCTGTAGTCGACAATCCACTGTATTAACGCTGTGTTGACTCGTGGAGCCTGTGATACCAGCGTAATCAGTCTCCGGACCAGGCCACCAAACCATTGTATTTCAAGGTCTCTGTCTCGTAGGAGATTGATGAGCATCGAAACGACGGCGCCCAGCTCGTGGCGACGAAACTCCGAGAGCCGCTGGTCAGCTGTGGAAGACTCGCTGATGAGCCAGGGCCTGTGGTCTTGGGCAGCGGCCTGGGTGCCTTTGCTGATGGCTAGTACAAGCGCCCGTTCGCTGTGAACTGCATTTGGACCAAAGAAAAGTCTCGCCCATTGGGAAAGTGCATCGGCGTGAGACTCGTTGGCCAACCGGAGACTGTTTCCAGCTTCGCCAGCCTTTCTGGTCTCTGTGTTGAGACTCTCTTGCAGCACTTGCACTTCGGCCTCTGTGCTGGCGAGCTGGTTTCCCACCTCGGCCTTTTCCGACTCCACATCTGCCAAGTCCTTCTCGAGACGCTCGAGGTGCGAACTTTTCAGCGCTGCGTCGCGCCTCTCCTCCTCTAAGTGCTTCTCCACCTCGTCTTTTGAGTTACCCAGTATCTGTACTAGATCTTCCAACCCGGTAGCCTTCTGTTCGAGCCGATGACGCTCTTCTTTGGCATTATGGATGGCTGCTGCGTGCTCTTTCTTGAGGGTTTCCATCTCCAACTTGATGTTCTTGAGCGCTGTCTCATAACCTCCCTTTTCTTGGTAGTGAGTCGTTTCCAGTGACTGCTTCTCCTGGTCTTGCAATGACTTTTCGGTCTCTATGGCGGCCCAATGTGTGTTTGCCATCTCCTCCATCTCTTTCTGTATGCGTTTCATTTCCTCCTCATGCTCCTCCGCATCTTTATCGCGTGCGGTGTTGCACTCGTCAATCTGCCTCTGCATCTCCTTCACCTTGTCCTCGTGTGTAGCCTTGGAGTCGTTCAGTTGCTTTTGAGCCACCCCCGCCCTGTTCTTGTACTTGGTCTTGGTGTCTTCGATCCTGTTCCGCAACTTGTCCGTCTCGGCGTCGTGGGCGGCTTTGGCTGCATCCATACTTTGTTGCTTCCCGTCCAGCTTTTCACGATGGGCTATTTTGGCATTCTCGATGAGTTGCTGCATCGTATTCACCTTCTCCTCGTGCGACGTCTCAGAGTTCTCGGCGCGTTTTTTCATCTCGTCCAGCTGAGCATCGTAAGAGGCCTTGGACGTGGTCAGGCGTTGTTCCATCTCATCCATCTTCTCCTTATGCTTGACCTCATCATCCTTGGTGCGTTGTTGCATCTCTTCCACCTCATTCTTGTGTTTTGCAGCAGCATCATCAATACGCTTCTGTAAATCTTTCATCGTGCTTTCGTGCGTGGCCGCGGTCTCGTTAATACCTTGCCGCAGCCGCTCAATCTCGCGGTTAGACTCGTCGATGCGTTTTTCCGTCGCCTGCTTCTCAGTCTTGTGCGTGTTCGTGGCCTCGTCGATACGTTGCTGCATCTCCTCCATCTCAGTCTTGTGTGTGGCAGCAGCATCATCAAGACGCTTCTGTAAATCTTTCGTTTTGCTTGTATGCGCGTCTGCAGTCTCTTTGCTTTTCTGCTGCAACTTCTCAACCTTGTTCTCATACTCCTCGATGCGCTTTGCCGTCGCCAGTTTTTCGGACTCGCGCGCGGTCGTAGCCTCGTCGATACGCCCCTGCATCTCGAGAATATTCTCCTGGTGTGCGGTTGTAGCCTCTTCGATACGCTTTTCCATCGCCAGTTTCTCAGAGTTGCGGGCTGTCGTAGCCTCGTCGATGCGTTGTTGCATCTGTCCCAGTTCCTTCTTGTGTAATGTCTTGGAGTCTTCGTGCGCCTTGTTGGCTGATGAGACTGCCCTTTCGCGCTTGTCCTCTGACTCTTGCATGTCCTGATCGTACTTCTGTTTCGCCGTTTCGAGATCGCTGCGAAGCTGTGTTGCTTCTTCCTTGTATCGATCGCAATCTCCTTCAACCTTGGCAACGTGATTCTTGTACATGATGTCGCTTGCCCTCAAGGTCATGAGTTGCTTCCTTTGACTATTCCTTTGAGTTGTAGCTTTGTCTTTGGCTTCCTCGAGCGCTTTGATCGCGGCGTCCTTTTCGCCGAGGGACTTCTCCAGCGTCGAGATCCTCTCCCTGAGGTCCTTTTCCATTTCCTTGTGCTTCTCGAGAACTGTTTCCCGTGACACCAGCATCTTCTTGTCGCGTTTCATATTTTCTTGTGCCGTGGTTGTTTGTGTCGTCGCTTCATTCTTATCCTTGAGCGAAGTTGGAAGGAGCGCCACCAGATCGTCACCGACCTCTTGGCCGGCAGGTTGATTTCTCTTCGGGTCGAGAGCACTCGGCGCAGGTTCAATGTCAAAAACGCGTTCCGGCTCGTTATGGAGCGCGCTGCTGTCGGTGATTGCCTGCTCCTGCCTGTTCATCTCTGTGTCCCATTCCATTCTATCGGTTAGAAATGTCAATGCAATGGCCTCCAAGTCTGGGGTGCGCTTTTGTAGATCCTGTCTTACCTTGTTGAGATGCTTAGCTTCGCTGCGCTTTCCCTCCAATCTGCCCGTCACCCCTTGGGTGGTCTCCTTGATGTTCATGGAGAAGTTGACCTGGGAGGGAAGTTACGCTAGCAGTAGGACTGTGAGAGCACTTGCCCTTCCGGATATTTATGGGACTGTATGTATAGCAAGGCAACCGCGACTACCTACCTTACACTTGCATTTTACGCCACAGCCAAGGACGGCCTACTTAAAGGAACGCCCGTCTAAGCAATTACCTCATGTCACACTACTGAAACCTATATCTGCCCCCTTAACATCAATGTCACCACCAACCGACAACTTTCAATCATATGGCTCAGTGGAGATAATTCACAGGGTAATAGAGATCGCTCTGCGTAGTAAGCAATTTAATGATAACAGATGATAGAGAAGAGTTTGTTTTCGTTCAGAGCTATATATATGATATATGCTCATCCCCTCGAGCTGTACTGCTCTTCCACTCTCAAGCTACCCTTTCAAAGTTCCGGTCTTGGAACTGACCATCCTTCCCTCTGATTCGACTCCCGTGCCTCTATCTACAGTTACCTCCACTCTTGGAGGTTTGGACGTCCTCGGTCTTCGCAAGGCCATTGAGATTATGCCAAGCTCCCAAAAACTGTCTCGGTGTCCTCCGATTCTGATTTGATAGATGGCTCTCTCTTCACCTCTGGTATTAGAGGTTGCCCCATCTTCCTCCCAGAAACAGACTTCTCATCAGAGTCAGTGCCACTGCTCGAGAAATCGGAACTATCGGCTCTGCTCTGCGGAGCTCCCGGCGGAGCCTGGTTTCGGAGGTCCTCCAACTCCTTCTCGAGTCGGGCAATCTTGGTGTCTTTCTCCTTCAGTCGAGTGTCCCTCCCCTTCAGTTTGATCCGTAGCTTATTCGTTGACTCTTTCTCGGCATTGAGCTGAGCTTGTGTCTCTGCCAACGCGCTTGACTCGGCCTGGACAGTCTCGTCCTGGCTCTCTTGCCTCAGCCGCTTCCTCCGCTTCGCTTCTTTGGCCTCGCCTCTGCGGAGCGACAGGAGAGCTCGTCCGATGTATTCCTTCAACTTGGACTCGCCGACGGGCGGTTCGTCCTTATTCTCCTCTCCCTTGTGCGCCCCCTTTCCGACGTCTTGCCGGCTGCCGAGGATGTAGCGAGAATACACCTCTGTGGAAAGGAAGTAGGGCATGCCAATATTGGCCATGCTATCCAACGCCTGCTTGATATGCTTGAGGTCGTGATTGTTGACCTTGTAGGCCAGTACCGGCCCCTGCTCGTTGCTGGCATCAGAGTCGACATCTTCGTGCACCACGACAGTGTCCTCGAGGCACCGAAGGAATTCAGAGTAGGGCGGAATCGTGACCGCCCGGCTTTTGAGACATTCCCGGACCTCCGCGTGATGCTCCATTATGGGCCTGTCCTGGCCCTTGGATTCTGCAATGACCTGCTTGAAGACCTGGAAGAAAACGTCATTGTTTGGCGGGACGAGCTTCCACGTGCGGGTGTCTCGAGTGCGTAAGATGACGGCATACTGCATGGCGGTCCTGAACAAGTTGATGTCGAAGTTCCAAAGAGGATGAACCACCAGCTCGTACATGTACTGCGAGAAGGTTGTTGTCCACTTTTGAGACTTGTTGGCGGACTTGCCTTCGTATCCGAGGAAATACTTGGCCGAGACGATCTCGAATGGTGCTATGTGAAAAATTCGAAGCGTGGCACGGAAGAGCTTCGGCAGCGTCGAGTCCTTGTAGTCGATGAGCTTCGTGCGCTGAGGGTTCTTTTGCCACTTGCTCTTGAGGCTGGCCTCGTCTTCGGCCGTCCAGTCCTCGTCGTACGCCTCGTCGGATATATTCTCTGGCAGCAGGTCGTCTAGTTCCTCGGCCTTGAGGCGCGGGAACCTGTGATTGAAGGCACGCAAGATCTCCTGCCCGTTGACGACGCCGAAAAACATCGTCTCAAAGTTGACCCAGGCTGGTGACTTGCCCTCACAAACACGTTCCTCCTCCTTGGCTGTCTTGCCATTTTTCTTCTTCGCCGAGGTCTTCTTGGTCGTAGCGCTCGTCTTAGCGCTCTTGCCTTTCGAAGTCTCCTCTCTGTCCAATTCCATGTCGTCATTCTCTTCGGTATCCTCTGGGTCCTCCTGGGCTGTCCTGCCCTTTGTTGCTGGAGTCTTTCTCTTGGCCGTAGCGCTGGTCTTAGCACTTTTGCCATTGGATACACCCAGATCTACCAAGCTCTCCAGGTCGCTGTCAGTATCGAAGTCGCTATCGTCGCTGGATTGCCTGTAATCACTGTCGTCGCTGTAGGCGACTTCTGTGATTCGGGCCTTCTTCTTGCCGCCCTGGTGTTCTTCGGCTCGAGACGCCAACCTCTTCCTCGGTTTTCTGGAAGGCCTAGCCATCACTGGAATGACTGTTTCACTTTAGTTTACTGCGGCAAGGGTGAATTCTCGTCACTTACGCGGGCGACGCGGGTGCTTGTGGCTGTGGGCGAGGTGTGTGTGCGCGTGTGTATGGGGAGGGTACAGTTCAGATGTGAAATCGGTTAGATTAGGCAGGTTGGTCAGTTAGTGGAATGAAAATGCTTACAACCGCCAAAAAAAAAAACCCGCCATTTTCGGACAGCTAAAAATCAATGCTTATGGAAAATATAAAGCTCTGATTCAATACAATGGTTTGTGGGTTAGGCAAGGCAATGACAATTTTTTAGCACTTGTCCTATACTTATAGACGGCTTTGACCGCGCAGTCTATGACCATCTAACAGATGGCTGATATCTATCTCTAAACAAAAGCTCTGGAAAAAAATTTCACTGAGCCGGTTTGATCAAGAAGGTGCAAATGTACTTCACTTCAGCCAGTACTAGGTACTTGCTGCTCAAACGTCCCTTGTCAAAAGACGTCCATCGATTGACATCCTTCTATCTCTCAGCTTTTGGAGAAATCAAGCTATTTATACTTATTCGTTCGTCAGCAATATTAACCAGCCCTCCTAAACCTGTGCGGTTGTTTTTAAGGTATGTCGTCGAGAGCTCATGAACGAAGCGTCTTGATTGGCTATAGCCATGTCCCAGGTGAGAATTTATGGGTCAAAGGACTTACACGGCCTGCCTTAGAAGTTAGCAGATCCCACCTCTCGAATTCCTCAAAGTCCTCCATCTCTTCCACAATCATCTTTTTTTTTTTAACAATGCAGTTGAATTGTTCTGCGTCTGGCGAGACAAAGAATCCCACGGAGATGGCAGAGTGGGAGAAACAAAAGGAGAAGGAGCCGCAGGCCGCCACGCCTACCAACCCCCCAGCGGCCGACATTGTCCCGCAGCCCGAGGTTGAGGCGAGCACCGAGAAGCCTAAGACCAAGGAGAAGAAGATTGGTAAGAAGGGAGCGCCGAGACCGGTGCCCAAGGAGCTCAAGACTGACCAGAAGAGGGAAGCGCCGAGACCGGTGCAACAGCACCCCCCTCCCGCTCCCAGCTACACCTGGGATCATGCCGGTCTGAGGGAGGTCAAGGCCATGCCTATGTGGCAGGGTGTCATAAGGGACTTGAGCTTCAGGAGACCCGCGTTCAAGGACGCCAATCACTTCAAGACGGAATACTGTCGACAAATGCCTTGAAGATACGTTCGCGGTCTTTTACGACAACGCAATCTACAAGGTCTCCCAGGAATATCTTGTCTTCTATGTCATCAAGATGATGTGGATCACCTACAGTAAGTTTGATCTCCCTACCTATGCATCACTTCACTCACTGACCATGACTACAGCTGGCAATGACGATGAGGACTGGGCCGCCATGGGATGGGCGTACCCGCGGAACTTGACCGAGACGCGTGACATGCGCTACCAGGAATGGTTGGAGGTCTCGACCCGGTGCTGCACCACCGCGACCAAAGCCAGTTTCCACGCCTGCGCCTGCGCCCCCGCGCGCGCAAGATCCTAAACCAGTACAGGCATCCACTGAGCGGCCAGGACACGCTACGACCCGACCGGCTCTCCCGAACCCAGCTGTGAGTATTTGCGTTCCAGTATCCGTTTACCATGATCTAACAACGTTGTGGCTTCACAGTCTCGACAGCTTCCCGCAGAACCAGCCCAGGCCCTGCCGCATCGATATAAACCTTACCAGCAGCGCCCGCAGCAGCAGTATCAGCAGAGCACGACGGTCATCGATGCGGAAGAATAGGAGAGAATTTTTGGAATACTGGGGGAATCGGCAGAGGCATGCTGAGAAATGGAGAGAGGCCATTCGAGGTTCACTTCGGTGGTGAAGTCAGGGAGCAGCTCTATGGAGAAAATGCCTTCAGAGACGTCAACTGATATATCGATCCGAGGCTCTATATCGCTCGAACCATGCGAAACGAGAACCTTTACCTTGTTGTGTACAGGCCAAGAAGAAACGAGCAGTACAGCTTGTACGTCGAGGGTCTGCCTAAAGCATACTTTGAGGCTTGGGTTAGTCTGCGGACCTTTCGCACCACGCTCTCCGTGGGACTCGCTCCTTCATTGGGCGATCACTTTAAGAGCTACTATGGCACACTTGTGACTGAGCTAGTCCGAGTAGGTCTTAAGCTTGAGGGAGAGATCGTGGCAGAGGTCCACGAAGCTGCTGAGAAGAACGAGAACAAGCGCCAGCTGAAGACTGGCCTCTCCATTGCCCTTTGCAAAAAGAACAAAGAGAAAAGACCAGTAGGCCAGGATGAAATGCTACAGGCCCCTGTCGATACCGGAAGCGAGAGCTTGGCGGATCTGGGAATACCGAATGATCTTAAGAGAACGGACAGCCCAGCGGAGAGACTGACAATTATAATGCCGAGACTCGGGAAGGAAAGCTTTAAAATTCAAAGCTGCCCGAGGAAAGAGCCCATAGATTGCTCTAATAACCCTAATGAAAAAAGTGAGATTCTGTCTGATGCTGCTTTTGTCTCTGTTATCGTTGTCGTCTCTGCAATCATCATTATCTCCTAAAACATGACTCCCAATTTGTTCCAGCATGCAGGACCTGTAGGCACATAAAAACATGCAAGATACGCAATCTCCTCTAATAATGGGTTATTTTACTCTGCAAACCTCCTCTCAAGTCCGCATTGGACCTGCGGTTGACGTGTCGCTGCGAGCTCCATGATTGAATCCGTTTGATTGGCTGTGGCTTCGATCTGAACGGCATCTGTGGGTCGTCGATCTTTTATGGGTCGAGGGACTCGTGCTGCCTGGTAAACAGCTCTAGCGAAATCCTCAATATGCAAACTTCATCCTCATAACCAGCTCTTGTATGAGCCTGGCTTAAGAAGAACTCACGCCGAGATGGCGGAGTTGAAGAGACACCAGGTCAAACGGGAAGCCCTCGCGGCTGTGCCTCCTCACCTGCAAGTTGCCGATACTGATTCGCCAGCTTACTCATGGGAGCACATTGACCTCAGCGAAATCAAGGCCTTGCCTGTTCTGAGGTCGATCTTCAACGACTTGACTCTGAAGAGGCCTAATCTCAAGGACGCATCGATTTTCAAGGCCAGATTTAATAGCTGCCTGCAAGACACGTTCGATCTCCTCCATGGCGCCAAAATATACAAGACCGGCACACCCTACCTCATGTACATAACACTCAAGATAATATGGGTTCGAGAGAGTAAGTGCAGTCCGGACGTTGACTGTTCCACCCTCTAATCATACTGATAGCTGGCGGAAATTGGGCGGCCATGGGCTGGAGGACCCCGATTAACTACCTCTTCCTCCTCGACATGCGCTACCAGACGTACCTAGAAGCTTTCCACCCCGAGGATGCGCCAGAGCGACAAGAGGCTGGCTTCTTCGCCCAGGATGCAGAGCCAGACACTGCCGCAGATATTGCTGCACACGAGGCGTCCCGAGCAGACATCTGGGACGCCCAGGGACTCAGCAGAGACCTCCTAGCTTTTGGCGAGAAGCCATTCGAGGTTTTCTTCTTTAACGGCAACATCCCGCAGTTGTTTGCAAAGGATGCCTTGACGGACACCAACCTCTACGTCGACCCGAGGCTCGCCATAGGCCGGAACGTGCGCGGCAACAATAAGCTGTACCTGGTCGTGTACAGATCGAAAAGGAATGGACACTCCAGTCCGAACGACAGAGCCCTGTTCCAAGCATACGCTGAGGCTTGGGGTTGTCTACGAGCGTACCGCGCCAAGATTGACGCTGGTATTACGCACTCGCTGGGCGGCCATTTCAGAGACTGCTATGGCCAGCGGGAACTGGACGCGACGATGATGGAGGTGGATGACCTGTGCGAGTCAAACATGAAGCCTTCGATCGCTGAACCTGTCAACACAAACGGCAAGAAAAGGCAGCAGCTCCATGAAACGAGCGACCGGGATGACGATGACATGGGCTGGACGATGCAGGTCGACAGCGAGTGGATGGGGGAGCAGAGGGAGCTCAAGAAGCGTAAGGGCGTGAATGGCCAGGCTCATGTTCCGTAGGTCGATCGCTCCCATACTGTCACGCTGCGCCATCTTGATCTACCGTGCTCTCTTAGTTATGATGTAGAAGACACGGAGGCTCCAAAAGGCTCCGGCAATGCCCTGCGTCTGTGCTTCGAATCATGGCTGATCTGGAGCCAGGGGGGTGGTTGCCCAGCCTCAGAGTTGTGCTGATAACCTCGCCAAAGAAATGGAGCCTGGACATTCATGGTCGATATTTCTGCCGAAAGCATATTAGGGACTAGACCAAAGCACTGCGTTAATCCAAACCTGAAGACTCAATTGCATAAGCCTGCTTCATGGGCTGAGCTTGAAAGGATACGGTCTTCATACGAACTGGTAGATTCTCGATTTTGGCGAAAGGGCCGCAAAACAGGAGTCGCAGAAAAGGGAACCTTCGCTTCATTTCCTCACAAATGGCCAAGTCGCCGATGACGAAGTTTAAACACCAGCTATCGAAGCAACCTGATGTCCATGGCACGTCGTCGGTCGACTTACACGGCTCCCCCGGCCGCTTCATCAAACCTAAGCGAGCGTGGTACCTGGTTGCTATGACGACTCGGGTGGATGAAGCGACATCATGTTAATCAGGAAACCGGGAGAAGAGCCGGGAGAAGCGCAGAGACGTGGAGAGGGAAGCAGAATCGGCCAAGCCCCGGGGGGTTCGCCATGCCCGCCGTTGTGGCCCCTCGACTTCGTGGCAGCCAGCATTCGACAAGCCCTGACGTGGACTCACAGACGTGTGCGGAAGTGGATGTTCAGGTCGAGAGCCTTCCCAGGTTGGGCGCGCGAGGTGACGTTGGATAAGACGACGGGTACGTATCAAGCGAGCAGGGAAGGTGCCCCACCAGAGGCACCGGCGCACTGTGTCGGGTCAAACGGTCTGAGATTTGACGAGCCAATGGGACGGGGTGCTTGTGCACGGTCGGTCCTGATTGGGCAATGGGAGCTGCACGCAATCTGAAAAAGTCGCGACCGAACGCGCTAGAACGCGCCTGCGTCGCGCGACAGAGCCGCGTCGCGACGACCGCATCGCAACTTTGGTGGTTTTGACGACCACCCACCTCCTTCGATGACTTGTTCGCACGTCTTCTCTCGTGTCTGCGAGGCGACCTGGCGGCAGTCGCGGGTGACGCTTTAGATCCTGTTGCCCTCGATGTCGTCCTGTTGCGAGTTTTGCCGCCAGAGTGGTGATTTTCGGGATTCGCATTTTGCCGCCGTCGACCCGACCCCGCGATGCGGCCCTCCTGAACATCAATGTCCATCAGACAAAGAGATCCTATTTCCTGAAATTCGAAAAGAGTGCTCGAAGCCCAAACCCTCTCCACATGCCCCGTTGCCCTCATGGCGCGGGGCTGAGCGATCGAATACCCACGTTTCTGATGCAAGCCATTAAGCAGCCCCTCTCCGCAGGCCTGTCGTACTGCGGAGCACCCATTATTCCTGATACGATGTCGGCTTTGTCACTTTGAGTGCCACCGCTGTACTGCAGACCACCTTGAAGGTCGCCCGGGATGTGTCATGAGGGCACTTAGATTAGAACACCTTTGGCGGACGTTTCGGGAGCAGTCAACCGACTTGAGGGTCAGGAGCACCTCGAGTCATGCGTCATCGTCGTTCGGGAGGGAGGGTCGAGGTCAGGGGTGACATTACACAGCCAGGCACACAGGAAACAAGCTTCAAAGGGAATGCAATAGCGTTTCAATACGCCCAAGAAGGGGGATGATGTCGTCGGCGGTTGATCGGAATATCTCTAGACGGCCAAAGGATTCGCTAAGCCGACGACCTGGGTCGCCGTCAGGAACCAATAAAGCAGGCAATCAAGGGCAGGCAGCTGGCCTGATGCCGTTCGGCCAGATCCCTTTGTGCAGTTTGAAGCGTCTTGGGTGTGGAGACGGGGCTTCTGAAGGGGAGCACTGTGAAGTCTAAATGGATGTGGTGGTGGTGGCACCGCATGAGGAGCACGTTTTCCCTTCGTGGCCTGGCTTTCGAGGAGGGTTGGTCGCATGAATGAGACGCTCTTGTTTGTCCGTGGTGGTGCTCTTTCAACGTCTGCAAAGCGACCCTTTTGGCGCGGTGAGACTGGGAGGGAGACTGATGGACAATAAGCAATTTACGGGCCCGACTGAAAGGTGTATTGTCAGAAACAATGGTTGCTGAGTGTGGCAACCTGACTCAACGAGGCCGTCTGTGTGTCCTGTGTAGGAGGTGACAGGAGGGAGGATCGAGCCGTATCTCTAGCACCAAAGTCTGAGCGGAGGATGAATAGACTGCGTCTGCATCGAGGCGTCTGCACCACGATAGCGATAGAGCAGGAAAGCTGGGGAGATACAGGGTGAAGATTATGCCCGTCTGTCTTACATGACTTGCAGCTCTTTTCGGCCGGAGTTGAGGGAGATGGGATTACAGGCGATAGTTCAAAGTGATTGGAAAAGGGCGCGCGAGATGAAGGAGAGACAAGAAAGATGAGGCCCGTTCAAGAGAGCCGCCTTGCATGAACGGGAGGAGAGACAGAGAAAGAGAGCCGGAAGAAGCAGGGAGACGCTGCGAGAGGGCACGGCCGTGGGCAGACGAACGAAGCGGTGGTGTTGGTCTCTAGCAATGGCGAGACGACCCTTGCAGATGGAGGACAGGATGCAGGCCCGACGAGAAGGGGACTACTGCAGGACGGTGGTGAGGGCGAGAAGGCGAAGAAGCAAACACGCCGTCCCAGGCTCGAGAAGGGGATTGAGACACCATCGAGACAGTGTGGGAGAGGTCGACGCTGCGTACCTGTTCGCGCGGTGCTGCCAGCCATCCCACCGTCAGGTGTACCTGGGGCATACCCCCTCTTGCTATCGTCTATCGATATGGATACTGCGGGCTGTTTCGGAGACTCCCATGATCATCCACTCCACGTCAGGTACCGATTCCATGTACTTTGCAGAGGACAGCAAACAGCCAGAAAGAACTGGCGGAAGGGTCGGTGCAAAGCTCGGACCCTCCCCTCCCACGCCCATTAAAATCCCTGGCAAAAGGATACGTACCACGGGCTCCAGACAGTGGAAGTGGTCGCGTCCCGGCAGCGTTTCCCAGAATTCTGGGCACTGTGAACCCACCCGAGGTGCAGGATGCAGTTTGCGCCAGCCAGTGGACGGACCCTGTCAGGTGGCCCACCGTCCAGCACCCAAAGATGCCCAGTCCAGTGTCCACCGCCCACCGCACCGCACACACCATTTTCCCATCCATATTAGTCTCCCCCCCCATAATCCTCCGCCGTCCCATCTGCCACCTGCCACTCTGCCGCTATCTAGGTCCGTCCCAGCCAACCTTCCCTTCTTCACCCACCGCCTCCCTCCCGAAACTCTCACACCGACACACACACACACACACACACACACACACACACACACAACTACTACTGCTCGCCCGCATTCCCAAGAATCCCTTCGAACCGCTAGCAAACAAATACCTCCAACACCCTCACCATCTTCTACAAGCCCTCGATCCAATACTCCCGCCCTTGATATCATCGCGACCTCCCGGCGCATTCCATTCCTCGCTCGCCCTTCCTCCGTCGCAAAGTCGCGCACCAGAGCCAACCAGCCCTGTCGCAAACCCTCACCGACCTCCAACGCCCACAACCCAGAGAACCGCAACCAAGCGCGCATACCACCGCCAAGATGCTCATGCCGTCCGCCCTCTCCTGCGACACGTCGCAGCCGCCCCTCACCCGCCTTCAAGCCGCAATGTTCGCCTCGCCTCCCGCCAGCCCTCCGTCGCTCTCTCACCAGGGCCCCTTTGGCAACATCTTCGACACCTGCCGCTCCCTCCAGGCCCTCCTCTCCACCCCTCAGCACCACCAGAACCACACCGTGACGCAGCAGCCATCGCCGCCGTCGCACCGCCAGCTCCCGACTCCTCCCCTCGCCCACGCGCCGCCGCCTCTGAAGCTTCGTCTGCGCTCTCGCGCGAAGCCCGCGGCCGATGGCATCAACAGCGAGCACCTCCCGCGCAAGCGCATCGCCAAGCGCGCGCCGCCCCGCGGGGTGAACAAGCGCCGCCGCTCGTCCGATGACGACATGGGCCGCGAGGACGCCTTCATGACCGACTCGGACGCCGACAGCGATCTCGAGATCTCGTCGCAACAAGAACAGCTCCCGTCCGCGCCGTCAACGCCCAAGCGCGCGCGGATCGCGCCAGAGGTCGTGCCCCTCGGCCTCGAGCGCTCCGACTTTCACACATTACACCTCCTCAACGGCGAAGAGCCCACATCAGAAGAAGCGCAAGGGTCAAACGTCGAGGTCGAGGCCGACGGCGAGCCGTGGAGCGCGGAGGACGACAGGATACTGGTGGAGCTCGTGCTCGAGAAGCTCAAGCTCAGCAAGTCAGAGTGGCAGGACTGCGCGCGCAGTCTAGGAAAGGACCGCAACTGCCTATCGCGGAGGTGGAAGAGCCTGATGGTCCAAGGCGAGGTCGGCCTCAAGGGCCGCAGGAGTAGCCGACGAACCAAGCTCCACGGCACCTGGCGATGAGTTCCATCGCCGTACATTCGTTTCTTGATTTCATTTGTCTGAGCATATTATTGGGTCAACTGTACCATATCGCATCTGGCAGACTAGAGAACCAGAATCTTGGGTAGCCCCGCATGTGGCTGGCATTTTTGCAACGGGCGCGCGTGTTTGATCTCGAGCTACGACTAGCTCTCGAGTTGTTTCTTTGTTTGCGCGACGTATCCAACGTCTGCTAGGGCAGAAGCTTGAAAGAGCAAATACATCACCGTACAAACAACACGCATTTCCATGATTGTGACCTTGAAACGCTACCTCTGACGCAGTTTACAGCCTGAATCCCGTCTTAAACATGCACCGCCGTCCAAACACGCATATGCGACGCTTGCGCAGGCAAACGACTGTACGTGCGGCGGAAACCTGTCTGGTCTCTACGAATTGACTTTTGGTCAGTCCGCTGTCGCAGCTGTCAACGACGCCGTAGCCGTAGCGCGCCCGGCCGCTTGGACTGTCATCGGACGACGGCCCAGCCGTCCAGCCATCCGGAGGCGCACACCAGACGCGACCGCCAGAGCTTCTGGCGCGTCGTCTGTTCTCCAGGGACCATTGGCATCGACATTCAGCCCCAGCCACCTCGACATGTGGGATGGCTGGGTTTTCCCGATGTGATGGGGGATCCATTCTGACTTGCAGCATGGGGGAGGGGGCGGGCGGCCTGCACAGCACACTATCGGGGAGAGCCATTCCACGATGGGCGGCGGGTTCTCGAGCACGGACTTGCGGCGGCCAGCCGGATTTGGGAGGCAGGGCGACGATGGACGATGGAGGGACGGGGAGGACCCTCGAGATGCGAGTAGACGCTGCCCCGGCCTCCCTCCCCCGCCGTTCCTGGCCACCCCAGCTTTTCCAGCCTCTTTGTTTTTCGTGCGATTGAGGCTCTGTCTGACCACGACCAACCTCACGATCGCAAAATGTACTAGCAGCTTCACACTTTTCAAACGAACAAACGGACGTGTTTGCTAGTAGACTTGCACTGTATTCGGCTCACGAACCGGCGCACAGGGAAAGCCCCAACAACCTGCCTCTCTAAACCCGCGTGCTAACAGCAGCCCAAAGGGCACAAACCACGACGGGAAGCAAGGGATGGCTGGGGACCCGATAGTGGTGGTGCGCGCTGAAACACTCCCTAACGGATGGGGGGTTGGTTTGCCGAAACGGGCCACGAACCCCCTGGGGGAGCTGAACCAGGCAGGGCCGCCTATCACTATCGCCGGGTGCCTGAGGCGAAGGGCGAGGCTTCGCCTGAGTCGCCGAACCTACCGGGCTGGACCTGGTGCCCATCGACGCTGAAGGTGTGGGTGGGTTAGAGGGGCGATCGCTGAGAGCCGAGCCGGCAGACACCCTGTTGCCGTCCGTCCACTCAGGTGTAAGTGAACCCAACACCGTCTCTCTCTCTGTCTTTGACCATATGTCTCGTCAATTTCCATCCAACAGACCGGCAAAAAGACCTCAGCCTCGGCAAGCAGTCTCCGTGACCGAACGGACGTAAGATCGTGAGCTTTTTGCTTTTGACGTCGGCTCTGTCTCTGCCCTTCCCTTTCTTGGTATGGGGCACATGCGATGATTGCCTCCAAAGGGGTTAGCATCATGTCTCTGGGTGAAGGCGATCCGTCGGAGGAATAAAATAAAGCCGCACATCATGTAATGTACGATCGTGCTGCTCTTGACATGGGCGCACAGCGCTGGAAGAAGCAAGCAGAAGCAGACGCAGCAGCAGCGGCGGCAGCGCAGCGGCAGCCGCTGTCTGAGATGCAGCCTGGAGCCCTTCCTGGTCGACGATCCAAGGGATGGCCGAGACATGGTTACGAGAAGCTGGAACACCGATTCCAATTACTCTGCGCCGAGGTCCTCTCCCTGTGATGGTGCCCCATCGTTCCCGTGTGCCTACTAATTGTCATTCTCCTCGCAACGACGCGAATGATTGGGATCGGATTGCCGTGCATCTCGTACTACCCCCTTCCCGCTGTCACCGAGGCAGATGCGAGACAGCGTCCTTGCTACCTTCACGTACGGCCTCAGCAGCCGCCGGTTGTCTCACGCGATCGGGTCCATCGATACTGGTAAACTAGCAGGACCTAAAACGCGTCCTTGCATCTGAAATTCCGAGGGCTATGGAGCAAAAAGGTAAAGACCGTCCCGATATCCCCCCATGCCTCTTGTTCTTTGATGCCATCTTAACTGCCACGCAATGCTGAGCTGTCATTCGTCGTCATGTCGTCATAGCAAACCGCAGTCCACTCGTCCTCCGACTGCGTAAACCCACTCAAAGCCAGAGCAAAAGTTTTGGTTTAGTCCTCGTACACCTCTTCGTACGTCTCCTCGTACTCCTCTCTGGCCTCCTCGAGGCGCTCGTGGTCGCTGCTGCTGGCGTCAGAGTCGTGGGCAGCGGCGAGAGCCTCCTCGTACTCCTCGCGGGCCTCCTGGACGTCCTCGCGATCGCTGGAAGAGATGGAGTCGCCGTCGTTGTCGGTGGGAGGCAGGACGGCGGGGGGAGCGTCGTTGTAAGAGTTGTCCTGGTAGCCGCCGTACTGCTGCTGCTGTTGAGCGGCGGCCTTGTGCTCATCGTCAGAGTCGTCTGCAGCTGGTTAGCACGGATCCAAGTGACACGCATGAAGGGCAACTCACCAAGGGCATTAGCGATCAACGCGCCACCAACAGCACCAACGGCGAGACCGCCGGCAGCACCGAGGAGCATGCCGCTGCTGCTGCTCTTCTTCTCCTTGTCCTTGGTCTCGCCGTACGGGTTCTGGCCCTGGGGCTGGCCGTAAGGAGCGCCGCCGTACTGGGGTTGACCGTACTGAGGCTGGCCGTACTGAGGCTGCTGGCCGTAGCCGGGAGCTCCACCGTAGGGAGCGCCGCCATACTGCTGGGGAGGTGCGGGGGAGCCGTAGCCGCCGTGACCCTGGTCTCCGAAAGCTCTAGTGTCGGAGGGGGGGACGGGAGGGGGGGCGCCGTAGCTGGGGGTGCCGACCGGGCCGGTGGGGGGAGACGGGTGCTCCCACTGGGAGCGACCGGAGCTCTGGTCAACGTAGAACCATCTCTGGTAGCTGCAAGGAGGTCAGCGGCAACGTCCGGGGAACGGGGTCTTCGGGATGCGGCTCACTTGGAGTCCCACTGGCAGAGCCAGCCCTGGGAGACAGAAGGAGCGGCCATCGGGGGCGCGGACTGGGCAGCCGGAGGGGTGGGTTGGCCGTAACTGGGCTGGCTGCCGTAACCGGGTTGAGGCTGTGCCTGCGAGGGGTAAGGGTAGTTGGAGGGAGGAGCGCCGTATTGCTGCTGCTGCTGCGGGTGATCACCGTAGCTGCGGGAGCCTGGTCAAAGAAGCACGAGTCAGTAACCTTATCGAGACGACGATGACAGGTCGATGGGATCTCGCTGACATCAAATGGGGTGTTTTGTAGGTGACGAGCAGGTAGTGAATGTCAATGGTAGCGAGGAGGACGAGAGGAGGACAAGAAATAGGACGGCTTGGGAGATATTGGGACGTCCCTCTTGCAGGGAAGGCGGGAAGGGCTGGGTGACACGAGTGCGACTTACCAGTCTGCTCTTGGGGAGGTTGCTGCTGCTGCTGCTGCTGTTGCTGCTGGGCGGCGGGCTTGTCGTCGGAGAAGGAGGTCTTGAGCTCCTCGAACTCCTTGGTGAGCTTCTTGAAGAAAGACATGGTTGCTTTCTTCGGTTCGGTTAAGTAATGGGGATACGGGAAGTTGTGAGTGGTGAAGGACGGATGAGGCGGCAGAGGCCGAGAAAGATCGAGGGGTAGCTGTCGCTGCGTAAGCCTCAGGTTTTCTGCAGTTTTTATGGGCGGTGAAGCAGAGAAGAGGAGATCTGTCGGAAACACGTCAAGGGCAAGAGGGGAGCGGGCGGTTACCTGTGATGCGTTGACAGCTCGTTGGTCCACGCGATGTTCGTCAAAAATCTTGGCCTCTTTGTACTGCGGCGGGCGTGGAGGGCCAGGTGGATGCCTCGCAGATGTGTGGAGGAGCACGATGGGTTCCCTCCCGGGGGCCGGAGCGATGGCTAGCGAGGCGGGCACTGCAATCAGTCACGCAGTGGACGACGGGCAGCTTGTGAAGAAGGGAAGCACCTCACAGGCGGCTCGGGACAGGTGCGTCAGGCTGTGGGAGACACCTCAGAGGTCAGAGGTGAGATGGGATGAGGTACAGACGATTTGTGTATGGTCCGGGGTCTGGGTACCTTACCAGACGGGAAGGCACGAGGGACGGGCGATGGTGAAGCTGGGGTGCCTGCCTCAGGTAGGTGAGGTCTGTTAAACGCGCATGCACATCACCAGAGTCTTTTTTTGCTGATGATTCAGAGCCAGAGTTTCTTTTCTTGGACTACCAGTGGCAACAGGTGCAACCCAACGTGTCTTTACTCGGCTGCCTTGGGTTCCGTACCGTAGACAGAGATAAACAGTGAGGTCAACGTCTTTAGCTGCCCTTTCCGTATCGCGTACGATACCTACGGTGAATGTTCGGGCGGGGAGCCAGGCGGCGTCTCGGCGCTAGTGGCCGTAGTGCCCGGGACAGGTGAACCGCAGAAAGTAAGGCAGGAACGTTGGAACGTCCAGTGATTGGCAGCTCTGGCTTCCCGGTCTGGTAGGGCAGGCACCGGCAGGGGTCCACAGGGTCCAAACGACGGGGACAGGGGCATCGATTTCAGAATTCAGACCCGGGGAGCTCCTTTGGGCTGCCCGCCCGCAAAACGCCAAACACAGCAACAGAGGCCTGACTCCTGAGCAGTCAAGGTTTGGGTGTGCCGTGTCAGCTGCGGTTCGAGCCTGGAAACCGGCTCTCAAAAAAGGACAAACATGAGACGTGCTGCAGCTGGTTCCCTGCAAGCCGTGGCCGCACCGGCGCTCCGCCCTGTCCGCTGCCTTCCCACCCGGCCGGTTTAAACATGGCGAGCGGGCCAAGAGCGGCCTAGTCTGCAGATTTGTGCTCGCCTTACCCACCAAACTGCCTAGTAATTGAGTTTCTACCTTATTACCTGTGGAGGCGTGCTAATTCACTGCGAATGAGGGAGCTAACCGCAACGGGGAAAAATATGACTCCCTGAAGAAAACTCACCGTCCGTGGCCCGCGGTCCGCGGCGGTGGCTGACTCTCTCTCGACCTTATCCGTACGTCTGCTCGTCGATGGCCATCTGCGCTCACCAGTGGTTCCATGCAGCGCGCGCCGTCCTTCATTCACAGCGCCGAGCCAAACGAGTGGGGGTGACCCGGCCTGCTGACAATGACTGATGACGGGCGTGAGGGCGCAGCGGGAGACAGAGAGAGGAGGAAGAAGAAAGGGTCAGATGTCTGGTGCGTTGTACGTCTGCAGTTGGGTTGCGGCGATGATGAGAGATAAATACAGCACACGCCTGATCGTGGCTGGTCGTCGACTGAGACTCTGGACAGCCGCCTCTGCATCGCCGTCCAGGGCCAATGAAGCCACGAGCGAGGGGCGCCGCTCCAGGGGTCTCAGAGACCCCCAAAAGCCTCCAACGGGCTGGGCAACGGGTCTCAAGACTCGTTGACGACCGCCCATTTGCTGCCAGAAGCATGCCGAGCTGAGGAGCTGCAGGTAATCTAACGCTTTTGGAGTGGACGCGTAACTCCGCCAAGAGCAAAAAGATGGGCTCTTGGATGCCGACATATCCACCGCCGCGGCGTCTTGAAGAAAAGCCAAGCAACACCGCAAAAAGACCACATGGCATGGGATGGGATCGGTATGACCGTTTGGTGCCCATGTCGACCTTATCCCAAGCGCACAGCATCTTTTTGCCGCAGCAGCACAATGAACAGAGATGCGCCACCGGGCTATGATTGTGAAATGCGACGCTGCATACGGTCTGTATAGTACGCCAAGGAAACTTACACAGACGCTCCTTGTTATGCGCTCCCCAAGACGTTCTGTCTGCCGTGAGAGCCCGGTATCCCGGCCGGCCCCCGTTCCCTTTCCTCTCGGCTCTGCCAGCGATCCTCGTCGTCTGGCATGACCATTGGTTCCCTATTCGGCGTTCCTACAGCAGACCCGCGGCCCCGAGGGACCCCTTAGATGCGCAAAGACCCTTGAGCCACCTCGACGGCCCAGATTTGTGTGAGGCGTAGCCTTGGACAGAGACCAGTCTTTGAACGCGTACGGTATGATTTACCGAACGCGTGTAAGGATACGGCAGAGCGACTCGCCGCAGCGCTGCCGCCAAAGGCTCGGCGTGGAAGGCGCGGAAACGGGGACTGGGGACCATTCACCTCGGCCGCACCGTAAAGGGTATCCGTACACTAATAAGCAACTTTTCTCACGTTGCGACTGACTGACCGGCCGACCTATTTCCTTGCTGCCCTCCCATCCCGTCCGTCCTCCTTTTCCCCTGCATCCTTCATCTCTCTCTCCGTCTTGCTCGTTCTTTCCGTTTGCCTTACCTTACCCACCTTTCCCTTCGCGACCGCCTTATTTTTCCCTAAAACAGATACCCTCGCACTCTTGCGACCTTCATCACAACACCACCAACTTCACACAACTAATCACCGCACACAACCGTCATCATGTCTGGATACCCTCCTCCCGGTCAGCAGTGAGTATCGCGTCGCCCGCCATCTGATAAAGTCGCAAGCTGACACGCGCCTGCCAGGCCCTACTACGGCTCTCCTCCCCCTCCCGGCCAGCCTGGCTACGGCCCTCCTCCCGGCCAGCAGCCCGTAAGTTCACATCGCCTTGAAGAAGACGAAGGCCTGCTCACACCATCTCCAGATGTACTACCCTCCCCAGGGCCAGGCTCCCCCTCCCCAGGAGGAGAAGAAGGATGACAAGGGCTGTCTCTACGGCTGGTAAGCAAACACCCCAAAGTGCGGTCGCACAACGGTGACTGACACTGTCTGAACAGCATCGCCACTCTCTGCTGCTGCTGGCTCTGCGGAGAGACCTGCGAGTGCTGCCTGGAGTGCCTGACCTGCTGCTTCTAATCAACGCGCATAATACCGATGCACGAGTGCGACAACAAGAGATTCCCCCGAACGCGACCACGGCCTTGCTACTCTTTGGTTCGGAAACGGATGGAACGGATGGTGGATGGACGGATCGCCAAAGGAACCCGCATAGCTTCTTTAGCCCTCGGACAGACCAGACGATGAATTCGATATTTCTTCGAACCGCACTCATTCTCCCGGAAAGCCCTGCCATCGTGCGTCAAGTGTGACGGACGGCGACCCACGGCATTCGGATGCACATTGTCATTTTTTTTTGTCTTACGATTACCCACATTGGCGACTGCGTTTCGCATATTTCCCCCTTGTCGATTTCTGAACGAGCACTTCCCGTAGTAAGCTCACGGGTGCCAACACTCGAGAGCAGATAATACAATTAGTAGTCCATCAAGGATCTGGTGTCTTGGAGATTGTGTGAGCATAGCTGTGATGCATAATAAGTGTCTGAGTGTGTTTGCTGTGATGCGTGTTGTGCCAAGTGTTTCGCCTTGTCAAACCACCTGAATACCTCACTGTACCTTTGGAGAAAGGGTATCAAGGCAGCAGTGACTTCTTTTTCCTCCCCTCCCGTCGTCGATAGATGTCCCAAAACTAGAAAACATTCCCAAAAAGCCTCGCCGCATCGCCTACGCCTTGGTGTCCTTCGGGGCCATGAGCTGGACGAATTCCTGGTCTGTTCATTTCGCGAAGTGCACGTCAGCCGCAATCCTCCGAAGGGTGTGCTAAATTTAGTCTAGGAAATTTGGGTGGGGGCGGGGAGGGGCATAGCGAGATGCGGCCGTCGGCAGAGCAGCGGAGGGCAGCAGTAGTGCAGGGCAATTTTGCATGCTGCTGCTGCTACTGAAGCGCGGTCGTGCAGCGTTGCAGCGCAACCCGGGTCGACCGCTGGGGATGAAGCTTACAGTCAATGGAACCGTTGCCGTCCAGATCGGCGTGCCTGATCATCTCCTCAATCTCCTCGTCGGTGGCGCGCTGGCCGAGAGAGAGCAGCACCTGGCGCAGCTCTGACGGCGAGACGGAGCCGCTGTTGTCCTTGTCGAACACCTTGAAGGCGGCGGTGAGCTCTCTATTGGGGTCCGCGGCCTTGCTCGACGTCGCGGGGGCCTGGCTCATGAGGTCGAGGAATTCTAGCAGCTGTCAACCACCAATTCATTCGTACGTGAGATCGTGGGGGGCTTTACCGTCGAGGCTGATGTCGCCCTTGCCCTTGGGGTCGACTTCCCTCATGAGCTCCTTGACCTCTTCGATGCTGGGGTTGAGGCCCAGGGACTTCATGGCGATGCGAAACTCCTCGGCATCGATGCCGCCTGGTCACGAGGCCGTGTCAGTGTGTGTGTTTGGTATCGTCGACGGTGCGTGTTGGGACTAACCGGTGTTATCGCGGTCCTGTCCATCGGGGGCACGTTAGTACTGAACTGATGTTCGTCCCAAGAAACCAGGGTCTGCAATGCGATCGCCGTGGCTCGGGGCAGGGTTGGGGGTTCGTGGACATACCCATACGGAAAAGACTGCCTTGTAGTCCTTGACTTGCTCCTCGGTAAGGTTGTGGCGCGCCTGCATGAAGACGACGGGTTAGAGGCCGCGAAGCTCGTGGATATCGGAAACACAGCAGCAGCTGTATCTGAAGCTGGCGGTGCGAAAGGAGGGGCAAGTAGCGACGCACCATTTTTAATTTGGTGAGTTCTGCGGGCGTG